CAAACTCTACAGTCGCGTTCCGTCCTCAATTCACACATGTATGGTGGAAGCGGAAGCACTGAGCTCTTCCTCTGTCGGCACTAAGTGGGCAATTGATGGCGGCAGCTCTGCAGGCTGCTGCACTCATTTGTTCGACTTGTGAAGCAGTGGAGGTGATTAGATTGACTCAGTAGTGGTCAGACTGAACTGAGGTCGGTGGAGGAGTGATGCTAGTTCGGGCAGCTACGGAAGCCGACGGGTCTTCCTAGACAGACGTCCGCTGACAGTTTCCAGCCGACTGCCTGCTACTGTCAGCCGAGCTGTCATGGGAGATGACCACTGAAGGCTGCCATGTGGAATGTGGATATTTTTTCCATGATTCCGAAGCTGGTTGGCAATAATTCCAAAATGTTTCAGTAAATAATAAATGGTAGTCAATAGTCATGGACTGTAATGGATAGTTTCAGTCATTAGAATTAATGGATCAATTAGTGAATGAATAATTGAGCTGCTAAAATGATTGAATGAATGAATGAATGAATCAAGAATGAATGAATGAATGGACGAATCAATCAATCAATCAATTGATTAATCAATCAATCAATCAATCAATCAATCAATCAATCAATCAATCAATCAATCAATCAATAAGAAGTAAATAAATGAAAATAAAGCTGTTATGACTTCAAAGAACTTAATCACTGACCAAACTTAAGTAGCTCTATCGCTGATGTCTGCTTTGAATTGACGCACACCACACACTCCACCTGAATCTCATCAGTTGCACTCATCTTCCAACCAATATCAGCCACCACCTACAGTTCGCTACCACAGGCTAAGGTGATCGTTAACTTGCTTCGGCAGTTGGCATTTCACGGGTTTGTTTTGAGAGCTCTCCTACGCGCGTCCCCACCCCTCACATCCAACCTTTAATCACTTGTTCCAACCCACTCTCCTTAACTGCCCACAACCGCATCCAGTTGCCCCACGATGGGGAAGCGGCGCCGTCAGCGCCCGCTATCCGACTCCTTCTCCGATTCCGACTCTGACTCTCCTCTGAATCCGACTCCTCCCCCTGCCATGGACACCGACTCCCGCCCGACCGTCAACCCTCCCTCCTCTACCCACCCTTCGACTGATCTACCCGGTACCGACCCTCGCTCGTCCACTGACCACGCCCTGACCGCTGACCTGACCTCTGACCCTGCCCGGCACTCTGACCCTCGCTCGTCTACCGACCTCGCCCGGAGCCATGACCCTCGCCCGTCCACCGACCACTCCCGGAGCTCTGACCCGCGCACGAACTTGGCCAACGCACCTGCCTGTGCTTCTGTCGATCGCTCTCCACTCGAACCGTACTTGTCTCTCGACGGCTCTTATCTGGTAGTGAAGGCTAGCGATAGTGACTTCTCTTTCCGGAAGATCAACGTTTTTTGGCCTCAGAAGCAGATCGCTGCTATCTGTGGACAGCATGGCCCCGACATTGAAGCCCCAGCGAACGGTACCTTAGTCATCAAAACTCACAACCGCAGAGACACCAAGGCACTCCTGAAAACGAAAGTTTTCTGTGGCAAGGACGTAACGGTATCCCTCCACCAGGCCCGCAACTCTTCTAAAGGCACGATTTTCGCTCCAGAACTCCGTCACATGTCCGAGGATGAGATCCTGTCCGAGCTGAGTGGAGAGGGTGTGTCTCACATCCGACACCTCACGACCTTCCGTGATGGTCAGCGACGGGACACCAGCCTGCTCGTTCTCACGTTCGAAACCACGACCCTGCCCGAAAAGATAGCCATTGGTTGGCTCAAAAAAGATGTCCGGGTGTTCATCCCAAATCCACTCCGGTGCTTCAAGTGCCAACGATTCGGACATGGAAGCTCTACTTGTCGTCAGGCTGCTCGCTGTCAGAGATGTGGTGAGGCCCCTCATGAGAACTCCGAATGTTCTAAGCCAGTTTCTTGCTTGAGCTGTGGTAGCACAGATCACTCTGTCTCCTCCTCACAGTGCCCCACGTGGAAAAAGGAAAAACGCATCTGCGAAGTCAAGGCTAAGTCCGGCTGTTCTTATCCCGACGCCCGCCGACGCGTTGAGGCAGAGGCTGCCACTCCGGCTCCCGGTCGGTCTTATGCCAAGGCCGCCACTACTCAGTCCACTTCGTGCAGCACACAGACGGACCCGATCTCGGCACTTCCCCCTCTGCAGTGTCTGAAGCCCTTGACTGCGTCGACGACCACATCCACAAACACCAGCGACGCGACGGAGACCATTTTTGGTGACCCGATGCCTTCCTCTCCTCCCGAGTCACAGCCTGAGGCTTCACCAGAGATCGCTCAGCAGAACAAGCACTCTGCCGGAGCTGCTCGCTCCACGGCAGCCTGGACAAAAGTCCAGCGCTCGAAAGGACCCCGCCCCCAGCCCCCAGCAGATGATCGACAGCCTACAGGCACACGCACGTCACGTCCACCTGTCAGAGTGTCACTGGGCCACAACCGTGCGTCAAGTTGGGCTTCGCCCCGTCGTGGTGTGTCTAACAAATACTCTCTCTTAGAAACACAATAAACAGCCTACTCCAGTGGAACTGCCGAGGCCTAGTTTCAAACTGGGCCGAAAGCAAGATGTTTTTCTTACTCTTAGCCCCAATCGTTATCGCGTTACAGGAAACATGGCTTCTCCCAACAGACCCTTACAATTTTTCTTTGTTTAACTATTCTCTCTATCGCTACGATGAGACCGATGGTGAGCGGCGCCACGGCGGCACCGCCTTATACATAAGCAACGATTATGTGCATGACCTCATTACTCTTAACACTCCGTTACAAGCGGTTGCTTGTACTATCCGGTTGCATGGAAGGAATATAGATATATGCTCAGTCTACATTCCTCCGAATACAGATAATCATACACTGGAGAGAAATCTAAATGATCTTATAGCACAGTTTCGACATCCGTTCCTTTTGCTCGGAGACTTTAATGCCCATAGTCCGATGTGGGGTCGTAACATTAGAGTCTCCGATCAGCGCGGTGAAATAGTTGAACGTTTCCTGGACACTAATCAACTTGTTCTCCTTAACAAAGGAGACAGCACACATTTTTCATTAGCACACAATAGTGAATCTGCCATTGATCTTTCCATATGTTCGCCACAAATCGCTACCCTTTTTGATTGGTTAGTAGATTGTGATATTCATCATAGCGATCACTATCCAATCAAACTGCAAACAACTTTCCAAGCTAACGGGGATGCTACTTCTACCTTCTTTCCGCGGTGGAACTTGAAGAAAGCCGATTGGGCAAAGTTCGAAGAGTTTTGTGACATTGATCACGAACAGTTCCACTCACCTGAGCAGGGCATCGCTTTTCTTACAGACGTAATACTCACAGCCGCAAACAACTCGATTCCCACAACAACGGCGTCACCCAGACGTAAACGGGTTCCGTGGTGGTCCCCGGATGTGGCAAGAGCACTCGCGAAACGAAAAAGAGCTTTCCGAAGATTTTTGCGTCTCCGTGATGATGATAGTTTAATTGCAAGAAATAAAGAAAGAGCCATTTGTAGGAAGGTTATTCGTGAAGCTAAGAAATCTTCATGGTGTTCGTTCATATCGCAATTTAACTATCAAACACCACTTAGTAAGGTATGGTCTCTGGTCCGCTCCCTATCCGGTAAAAAATGTTTTTCCAGTCTTCCGATTCTTCGCGTCAATAACACACTTATTACACAACCACAAGAAATCGTTGACACGATAGCAGCAGCTTTTGCTCACTCTAGTTCATCCCAGAACTACCGAGCGAGTTTTACTGAAAACAATCGAAGAACATTTGAACTACCACTAAATGCTTTCACATCAAACAATGTAGAAACATATAACGACATATTTTCCCTCGATGAACTGCGGCAAGCTATTTCCTCGACCGGAAACACTTCTGTGGGGCCTGATAAATTACACTACGCTTTTTTCCGACGCCTACCTGACAGCACCTTAGAATTTATGCTAGCAACTTTTAACGACTTGTGGACAAAGCACCTTTTTCCGGATGCATGGCGACAAGCTGAAGTCATTCCACTACCCAAACCCGGAAAAGACAGGAAAGATCCCGAACATTACCGACCGATTGCTTTAACAAGTTGCTTTGGAAAAATATATGAACGAATGGTTAGTAAACGCTTAACTTGGTACCTAGAGGAAAAAAGTTTGATTTCCACGTTCCAAAGTGGCTTCAGAAAAAATCATACGACATACGATCATATCATAAGGTTGGAAACTGACATCAGAAAAGCTTATAAATATAAAAAACAAACTACATCAGTTTTCCTCGACATTTCAAAGGCCTACGATATGGTATATAGACCGGCTTTGATTTATAAAATTCACCAAATGGGTTTTAGAGGTCATCTTGCATTCTACTTAGTTGGATTTCTGTCGGGTACTCGCAAGTTTCACGTTCGATATAGGTCCATACACTCGCATACCTACCAATTCGAAAACGGTTTACCACAAGGAAGTTGCTTGTCGCCTGCTCTTTTCAATATAATGATTAACCCCCCAGTGCCCAGAGAAAAAAAGTTTTCCGATTCCAATGAAAATTCACATGTTTGCCCCCCTATACTTGTGTTGTAAACAGCCGAAGAAATTATCACTGTACCTTTTGTAGTTTTCGACGTATAGCACTGGACATAAATGTCCAGATGGGCATTACCATGTACAAAAATGGTGCTTTGCGGAAGATTAGATCAAACCACACCAGACCACTTAAGTTTTCTGTAAAAAAAACTCCATTCAGCTAAAAAGCAAGTGTATTTCTAAAAAATCAACCAGAGTGTCAACATGCTCTCCTTGTCAACTTGCTCTCTATGCTCATGTTGTCAACACACCGGTGACATCCAGTCACTCCAGATTATCAATCAACGAATTTAAGATCAAGCAGCAAACTGAGACAAAACCCAAATTGGGGCCATCAGCACTGTCGCTGCTTGGCAGGGGTATCGCCGGGCGTCCACCAGTGGAAGCCTGAACATCTTTTCACTGGGCGACGCCATGGAAGCCGGCGAAGCAGTTGACGCACAGGAACACAGCACACTTCACGCACTTGGTTCCCACCTTCGCCGTGCAGCCTTCATTCCGGCAGGTCCCCCGTGACGGGGCCTTGATGATGATGTGTCCCATCCCGTCGAAGCGGATGGCTTCGGATCCTGGAGCCGCAAGGTTGCGGTTCATCATGGGCTTGCTCCCCCTGGCCCATCGTCGCAGGATGGTGCAGGCGTACTCGCGACGGAACTGGACATAAGTCATCGTGCCGCCAGCGCGGCAGTAAAGACGCCAGGCGTTGTGGACTGCCGTGTCCAGAAGCCATGTGAAGATCGGCCACCACCACTTCTTGCCCTTGACGGCGATCCTGCAGTGGTTGACATTTTGATCCATCCTGTCAGTACCGCCCATCATCTCGTTGTACTTCCCGACAACATGAGGGCGGTCAACTTCCACATGTCACTTCTGCACACGGCTGTAACGGCGCACCTTGCCTGGGGGAACATCGCCGTAGCATGTCGAGGCCAGAGTGACGGGTGCATTGTCTTGCCACCTGACGAGAATCACGTTCCCGTCCCGACTGGTGACAGCCTGGTGCATGCCTCGTTCCTTCTTCCTAAACTCCTTCGTCGCACTGAGGCCAGTCGTGCCAGGGATGCGGTTCTCCCGGATCGTGCCTGTCACGTCGTATCCTCTCTTCGTCATCTCCTGCATCAGGGGGATGGACATGAAATAGTTGTCCACGAAGAACTGGAAGGGCAGCTCGCGGAACTCCTGCTTCATGTGCTCCAGCAGATCGAGCACGGTGGCGCCGCTCTTTCCAACAAGCTGAACGTTGTCGTCAGTGTGCTCCGCGACTCCCCTTCCTTGATAGAAGTCGAACGCCAGGAGATATCCGTCTGGCGTGTTCTGTGCCCAGGCCTTGAATCCGAAACGGATCGGTTTGTTCCGGATCGCCTGTTTCAGACCGTGCCGCCCAAAGTAGGCGATCATGGCCTCGTCGTGGGAGATAGCTTGCTGCGGAACAAAATGCTCCATATACTTGACCTGCAGGATTTTGATGAGCGGACGGAGCTTCCAGTAGCGGTCAGCAGGATCTTCCTCGCTGCAGAAGTGGAGGTTCCGCTTGATCGTGTCAAAGCGATTGCGCGTCATGGCTTGACATATGAGCTCATTGTGAGTGTCCGCAGCCTCTTGCCAGTAGAACCTGGTGTTCACTGCTGTCAGGTAGCTAGTGAGGACGAGGATGCCGATGAAGATGGCGATGTCTTCCCTGCTCAGCTGTGGATCTTGGCGTCCGTTTCGAAGAGCGTAGAGGGTGCTCTCCTTGATAGTGAGGTCGAAGATCTCCTCACCAAGGAAGAGTGTTACCAGTTCGTTTGGACTCATCCCCGAGAACTGGCTGAAGTTAGCCTCAGGGAAAAGCCTGGTAGGCTTTCCCGATGAAGGCGCTGGCTTCATCCACGTCACAGTGTGATGAGCTTGATGACGTCGCGCGGTAGGCTGGTGAGTGGTCTCAGTCCTTGAACTCCTGCGACGCTGAAGTTCAGCTTCAGACTTCAGGATGGGGGCAGAAAGATGGTCGGGGTCGCCCTCGCCTTCGTCCTCCGGTCCGGAGTAGCCGTCAGATACGTCACCTTCTGGAGGGATGAGGATGACGTCCGCTTCATCTCCGCTGGCATCTTCTTCAACCATGTCAAGGACATCATTCAGTGTCTTTGTCTTGTGTCTGAAACAGGAATGCAGCCATTGAAAGTGCTGTAACAGATAATACCAAATAAGCATTTGTGCAAGCCAGCTCTATTTTGTACACAGCAATGCCCACGTGGACAATTTTGTCCATGTTTTGCAATTTCTTTTCTAATGATCATGCAACGCAACTGGGAGAACAAGCTAGCGCATCAAAACATGGGACAAAGTCTCCCAAACATGAATACACTGTTAATTTACCTGGCTAATACTCCAGCGCCATGACATCTTACCTTTCGTCATGTGACGTCATCGCGATTTGGGGTCTAAATCCAGCGAGCGACTTGGATGCTCGACGTGTCGCTCAAAACTGGACCGATAAGCTCGGAATCATTCTAAAACGTTTTGCTGGATCTTTCTCGACTTGTACCGGCCGCTGTTAAAAGATGGCTCCACTGTCGCACGCTGTGGGTCCCCTGCACTGCAGAGAGACACGGTTGGACAAAAATGTCCAGTTGGGCGTTCCTGGGTTAATGATCTTTTCGATACAGCTCTTCCAGGTATCAATTATTCTTTATTTGCAGACGACTGTGCTATTTGGTGCTCAGATTCTGACTCGCAGCACTCTATTCCACGACTACAGAGAGCCTTAAATAACATTGACATATGGTCCCAGAAGAATGGCTTTATTTTCTCACCTGCGAAGTCGGCTGTTATGACGTTTACTAAAAATAGTCGCATGCAACATGCCTCAGATCTAAGACTTTCTGGCAACGTTATCCCTCGCGTCAACTCGTTCAAATTTCTCGGTGTAGTTCTGGATCCCAGACTTAGTATGAGCAAACACGTCCAACATATCCACACAAAATGCATGAAACGTCTTAACTTATTCCGATGCATAGCCGGCACAGATTTCGGTGCCGATCGGAAAACTTTGCTTCGCTTGTACAAAGCCATAGTTTTGCCGATTATTGAGTATGGTGCCGTAGTTTATGCAGGAGCCAGTAGCAATACGCTTAAAAAATTAGAAACTATTCAGAACACGTTCATTCGCATTGCAACCGGAGCCATGAAGACTTCGCCAATCCCGTCTCTTCAGGTAGAAGCGGTTGTACCTCCTCTGAATATCCGTAGAATGGAACTATCATTGCGATACATATCAAAGGTTTCGTTTCATCCACAACACAACACCTTTGCATCTCTTCGCATTTTACCGTCGATCCACCACAATTATCTGGGTCCTGCGGAAAAGAGATCAGGTTTGACCATTGCTTCTAGACACAAAAAATTCACAACAGACTTAAACTACGAGCAGCCAAATATACAACCACTTCCGAAACTTAGCACTCCACCATGGCGGAGAAAACAAAGAGACACAATATTTCTTTTCGACGGCTCTAAAAAGCACATGTCGATGGCAGAAACACAACAAACATTTATTCAAACACGAGAACAACTTCACGATTTTTATTTTATTTACACTGATGGTTCCAAAAACGGTGATCGAGCAGCTTACGCTGTATTTTGTCCTGGTGAAAATAATAACGTTATAAAGCAAAGTCGCCTCCAGAACAAAACCAGCGTCTACACTGCGGAACTACATGCATTGTTCACAGCCCTGAAAATTATCGAAGAAAAGGAATGGCACAAAGTGGTGATATGCTCAGATTCTCGCTCCGCTATTGAGTCATTGCATACTGAATATCCATCATCACCATTGCTTATACAATTGATCAATTTGCATCAAACGCTATCGAGTCAAGGTGTACACATAAAATTCATGTGGATACCGGGACACAGTGGAATATATGGTAACACTCAAGCCGATAAGTATGCCAAGGATGCTCTTGCCATAGCAAATATTTCACACATTCCAGCAGAATACCACTACATCAAAAACATTTTGAGAAACAGGGCGCTCGCTCTTTGGAGGAAGCAATGGGCTGATGCATCACGAGCGACACAACTTAGACGCATTAAAACCGAAATCACAGAGTGGCAGTCTTCGAACAGGAAAAATAGACACGAAGAAAAAATGCTGGCCCGCTTGCGGTTGGGACATACAATATTCACACACAGTCATATTTACAAACAAGAACCCCGGCCACAATGCAATCTTTGCCATACCCCAATCACCGTTGATCATATTATCACAGATTGTCGAAAATATCACATGGAAAGACGGCCACTTATACAAGCATGCAACAAAGACGGCTTACCATTCACCTTAGCGACAATTCTTGGAGATAAGGAACAACATTTACATGATCTCCTCTTCACTTTTCTGAAGGACACAAACCTTTTTCTGAGAATATAAACATAAAACAACATACATAGTGCGTAATACATACATCTTGAACATAGGGCATGAAATGGTCGATTGGGCCGAAATGCCCCAAATCACAACAAAAGAAAAAAAGAAAGAAAAAAGTTCGCTACCCACGCCATGTCCGCTCACCTGCCTTCAGACGTGCAGCAAAAACTGACCTCGGCTGGGGCGGACAGACCAGCCGCCTCTGTGCCGGTCCGCGTCCCGTACGTCGGTCCGTAAGTGTACGGGTCCGTCCCGTACGTCAGCCCCTCCGTGTGCCGGGCAGACGGTGACCATCTGGAGCGGCCCGGTTAAACACAGGGCGGTCGAGACACCTCTGACAGCCCATCAGACCAGTAGCTGGATGGATTCAGGGCACACTAGCGTGATGAGACCAATCAGCCAGGGCTCATTACCATATGGGGAGGACCGTGAGCTTATTAACAGCCCAACAACTAGCCACTAGCCAGCTTCTCAAATGTGCTAGGAAACGATGTTGCCATTGGCTTGAGCTTAATCGCGAAGAGTTATTTTCCTGTGCTGAGTATAAAACATAGCAAAAACTATAATCTGTTATAAATATTAATCTGGAAATATGGCAATAAGCCGACCGACTGAAATCTGGAAATAGACTGACGCATACGACGAGCGATATCTATTATCTACTATCCAGTGCACATCCGAAATACCAACTAGCTATAAAGAAACATCCTGTGGCGCTGCATTATTTTCTTTACAAAGATCGGTATTGTATGGACATGGACAACACCCGGAATAATGGCTGCAAAGCAGGCAAAAAACACACGCTGCTGCGTTCAGTCGGTTTCCAGGAACGGCAGAACGTCGGCAGGGAGCAGATCGAATACCATGCCGAGTTACAACGAGATCCGGCGATACCGAGTGTGTTACAAACCGTTTACAGCACCCGGCATGAAAAAATACGGAGAGCAATGAAGGAAACTCGGCCGTTCTCCTATAGTTGGTGGTTAGCTCGCGGTAAAAAAGGCTATAATATCCGTCGATAAGATCAATCTCACGTTGTCCACTTGCTGTGCGGGTTGTCGGACTTCCATCCGAGTGATTCACCACATGGGTTAGATATACCAGAGACAATAGGGCGACGGTTCCAAACTACAGTGCTGGATTATTTTGAAACGTACGCTTTGAAGACTGTCGGAATTCGAAGGAATTGTTATTAAGCTTTTGATTTGGCTTCGGTGCATAGTTTTCATTTCGGAATACTCTCAACATCCACAGAGCCACTATCACGTTTAAAATGTTTATTTGTCCCAACTGATACCTACCCATCTTTTTGTGACCACCTTGTTCAGCACTGCACGTCGAGAGACGATAGGGGTCGTGGAACGGGTCGAGTCGAAGCCACCCTCAACTA